ATAGGATATCTCAAACCAGTGTCCAGGGAGCCACCCCAGGAAGCCCCTCTCACAGCTTTCTCTATCTCCCAGTGTCTTCCTACCCTACGACCCCCACACACATTCACCCTACCGCCAAGTCCAGTTGGTCCCGAACCCTAAAGCTCTCCCAGCTCTGTTCTCCACCTGCCATCCTTGCTGCCATGGTTCTACATCAGTCCATCACCATTCCTGCCACGACTCCTTCATTAGCACTTATTTTACTATTAACTCATCTCTTTCTAATCTATACTTACAGGTTGTCACAGTGATATTGCTAACAAGACTGGGTCATGTAACCTGCCTGGTCAAAATTTGCCAATGGTTTGCCATTACTTAGAGGACAAAAGAAAATCTTACTTATAAACCAACTAGGTGCCTCCTTCTCTATCGTCAGTCCTGGCCACACTCATTCCAAGAGTACCAGCGGCCGGGGGGGACCTTGTTTACTCGTGTGCTAAGGGTCTCTGATTTGAATCACTACCTTGCACATCATCTCTATATCATGAAATGCCACATTCTTTTGATAAATTTTGACAGAAAGCCCCACCTACGACAATTTCACAGAGACATCTGGTAAACCTAAATGAAGCATCCAAAGCCCTGCATAATCTCCCCCAAATTATTTCCAATCTCATTTTTCCAAATCTTCTACTCAAGCCACACCATGAAAACACCCGTGCTTTGCTACTTCAAAGTTTCAGCTCAGACCATCGCTTCTTGTGGAATCCACTGCCTTTCTCTCTTCCCCACTAGAACCTAAACATTCTCTACATCTGTTCTGTTCTATGACGTGTCCCCAGGCCACCTCAGCCCCTAGGAATCCCTCCCTTCTCTGAAATGCCCTGGCGCTTACAATCTTGGTCATGCATTCGCAATTCATCATTAGTTCCTGTCTTGCCATATTACTGTATTGTTGTATTATCTCTTGCATTGTTTTATAATTTTTAAAGTGTTTATGCTTTGTTTCCTGAACTGGATTGTAACTTCCTTGATAACTAGGACTTTGACCTGTATCACTATTATTTTTAGGCTCTACATAATATCTCATATGTAGTAGGTACTAAATTAGTATTTCTTAATTGACACGTTGGCTGGTAAATCTACCAAAAAAAAAAAAAAGAAAATAGTTGGAGTTCATGAACTAGAAAATTGTATGATCTGATGAACATCATTGTTTACTTTTAAATGTTAAATTTTCAGAGAATAAATACAAATATCAATTACCTTTTTAATTTTATTTCCTCAGACAGGCAAGAATGTACCTCCTTCTTTTGTAAAAGGATTATTGAAAGCACGATTTCTGATTTAGTTATAGTGCCTGCTGAGCAGAGGAAACCTTCCCCGTCATGGGCAGAGGGTGAAGGAGGAAGAAAGAAGAGGAGGAATGATAAGGGACAGAGAAGGAAGTGGGGGGAAGAGAGGGGAAGGGCAATAGTCAGGGGAATTGATGAGAGGAGAGGAGGGGGAGAGGGGAGAGGGGAGAAGATGAAAAGGAAGCAGAGGGGGGAAGAGAAGGGAAAGATTCTCTCCTGATTAAATTGGAAAGTGAAGCCCTGGCCAGTTTGCTCAGTGGTTAGAGCATCGGGCCAGGGACTGAAGGGTCCCAGGTTTGATTCCTGCCAAGGGCATATATCTCGGTTGCAGGCTCGATCCCTGGCTCTGGTCAGTGGGCAGCAGGAGGCAGCCAATCAATGTGTCTTTCTCACATCAATGTTTTTCTCTCTCTCTCTCCCTCCCTTACACTCTCTCTGGAAAGCAATGGCCAAAATATCCTCGGGTGAGGGTAAATAAATAAATAAATAAATTGGTGGGTAAAACACTTTCCCAAAAAGAGTGAGGATCCTATTTTTGACTAAACCAGGTTTGCTCATTTGCTCCCATTCACATGTCATGTGCAACATAAAGTCAGTTTCCAGTGACATGGTCAAAACTGAGTCTTTAAAGGTCATTCTGATCATTTAGAGGAAGGTTAGACTGCAGAACTGGAGGGCGTTAAAGAAAGGCCAAGGTGAGTGAGGAATGAAACACTGGAAAGGGTGATAAGGTTTTTTTAAAACTTTTACAGGTTAAAAAAAAATTGACATGCTCTCTCTACTTACCAAGACTCGTGACTTCCCTCTACGGTTGTTAGGGGGTGGAGCACGAAGCAACATATATGTTATTGGAATTAACTCTACTGTAGAAAGCGTGACACTAAGTTACAGGAAATTTTAAAATCACCTTTAAGTTCACTATTCCACCTCCATACACACACAGACAGGTACACACACACACACACACACACAAACGGGTATACATACATATACACACACGCCCTATTTCTCTTAGAAGGTTTTTTTTAAAAGGTATATGCCTTTTCTAATCTGCTTTATTTTGTTGTTGTTTTCTTTTAAATATATCTTTATTGATTTCAGAGAGAAGAGGGGAGAGGGAGAGAGAGAGAGAAACATCAATGATGAGTCATTGATCAGCTGCCTCCTGCAGGCCCCGACTGGGGATCAAGCCCACAACCTGGGCATGTGCCCTGACCGGGAATCGAACCTCAATCTCCTGGATCCTAAGTCGATGCTCAACTGCTGAGTCACACCCCGCCAGGCTCTAATCTGCTTTCTTAATAGCTAGCAGTAGGGTCCCATTTTATTCTTGACCCTTAATATAATTTTGTAAATTACTACAACTAAAAACCCTAAGTAGAATTGAAGGGCCTGTGAATGTAAAAATCTCAATAGCTTAGAATCTTCTCAAGATTGTTCTTTGGTATTTCATGTGGTTACAAAAAAAAAAAAAAAAAAATCATGTAGAAGAAAAATCATGCCCAGCAAGGCAGGGAGATGACAAAGAATGTCCCAAATGGTGAGGGGGGTGGTTCTGAGGAAATGAAGTCGCACCAGCCTCTGCGCCCTTCCTCCCTCTGGCAGAGCAAGTATTTAATGTGGTGAGAAAGTAAATGTGGAAGCAGTATCATTATTTACTAGAAATCACATGTCGTGAGTTCAGTTTGTTAAAAAAAAGGAAGTTCAGGCCAAGCAAAACTCGGGTCAGCAGCAGGCTTACGTAAATGCGTAGGTTCGGTCTGACTGGGGAGCTGGGCCTCCAGCAGCCAGAAGCAGGCAGCCGGCTTGCAGCCCTCCCGCCTTCACAGCAAAGCCTCCAGGCAGCAGGGAGAGCAGAGGACGGTCACAACTCAAGCACGAATGACCAAAAGCACAGGCAGGCCCCTGTGTGACATTATTTCAGAGACACACTACTTCCTCCCACCTAAAAAATTGTGAGCAACTTCTGAAGCTGGCCTTGTTTCTGCCCAAACACACACAGGCCTGGTGTGAACTGAAACTACACAAGTGTTTTGTCAAAGCAGGAAGCTGGAAGCACAACTTAGAAAAGACTCAGAGACAAATCATTGTTCTTTGTAGACATTCATTTTCACATAGATTGACTTGGTGACCATTTTAGGAAGATCTGATTGAAATATGAACTATCACCAGGGCCCTCTTTTTCTTTCAAGCACAATGGTTGTTATACGGATTATGAATTCCTACTAAGCTATGCCTACCGCCCCCACTCAAATTCATTCCATTTCCTCATCCCAACATACTTTTTTCTTCATTTCCAATAGCCAGATTTCTACTAACTTACAGATAACAGCGCCATAACACCATGAAACTTCTACTGATTTCAGCTTCCAGAAAGCCCAGTTCCCTCCTCTGAACAACTGTCCCTACTGCTGTTTATACCATTAGATTAATCAGTTACTACCTCCCAAGGTGATTCTGTAGGCTTGTTTGGCATATTCTGCTAGACAGTAAATACTTACAGCCATGCTGTCCCACAGAAATACAGCTTGAGGCACATAAGTAATTTTATCTATCTTATTTTAGTCTCATACATTTTTTTAAAAAACAGGTTAATTTTAATAATATATTTTATTTAATCTCAAAACCAAAGCATTATAGTTTACTATGCAATTAATATAAGCAAAGTATTAATGAAATATTTTCTATTTTTTTGTACCGAGTCTTTTGAAATCCAGTATGTATTTCACCCATACAGCACATTTCAATTCAGATGAGCCATATTTTAAGTGCTCCATGGGTACGTGTGGATAGTGACTACCATCCAGGACAAGGCAGCTTTAGGGTATGGAGTACCCTCTACAGCTCGATTTATCATCCTGTCTAGCATGGCACATTCTCCATTGCCAAAGTTCAATCAATATTTGTCAAATTAATTACTTACCTTACTAATTTATTGAAAATCAGTACAAAATCTAATCCCATGGAAAATATATTCCTGCTAGTCATAACACAAAAAAGAAAAAAAAACATGGAAAAATAATTTTGGCATCTTTAAGAAATAAATTTGTTCTTCTCAAGTGATAAAATGAACTTTTCAGTTATTTTCTCATTAAGAATATAGTTTAGAAGTACTAAACCATGGATCACTGAAAGGAATAGTATAGATGGCAATAAAATTATTTGTTGTTTGATATGTTTGGAGAAACAATTCAATAATATTTCCTGACAAGAATAAGAATATTAAATAAGAGTAATTAATTCTTTAAACAAGTGTGCAGGATTTGGTAAATCCTGGTGAAAATATTTTGCTGTCATTTTCCTGCTCACCACATGATTTCTCCTCAAAGGGTTGTGCTCTAAAATATATTCAGTGTTTTCACAAATGATCTCCTAGTTACTCAGATGCAGCTACAGAAAATGAATGGCATCATTTCCATAGTCATTAGCAACATACTGTCAGCATCAGATTAACCTGAATTGTTCCTGTTAGAAAGTTCATATGAAAGTGGAAATTCTGATATTTATTCTACCTGTCTAAAATTGTAGCTGTCCATTCCTTCCTTCCCAACTTTATTACTACCTTTCCTTTTAACTGTAACTATCCATATGCCAGAAGTTCTGACTGTGGTAGAGCATTACAAAGAATTAACAAAATATGATAATTAGGGAAGTAAAATTACTCACCTTGGGCAATTTCAATGGTAATTTGCAAACTGGCAACTGATAATGGTTTTCATTAAGTATGGGAGACTGGTCCAAGTTGTGGACTATCTTTTCTTTAGGTATCTTATAAACTACAATGGTGCCCTTATAATGAGAGCAGCTGTAGTTGCCAAACTCATCCACCTCTTTGATTTGGAGTTCCAGCCTGGGTTTTCTTTGTAAATGAAAAATAAGCTTGTAGTCTTTTCCATAATCCTTCCCGTTACCTACAGAGAAGTAAAATACACTTGTTACTAGTAAGATATACCACTTTGTCTTCATTTTTTAAAATCCAAATAATCGTATAATTCTTTTTTTTATATAAAATATGTCTTTATTGATTTCAGAGAGAGGAAGGGAGAGGGAGAGAGAGAGAAACATCAATGATGAGAGTCATTGATCGGCTGCCTCTTGCACACCCCCCGCTGGGGATCGAGCCCGCAGCCCGGGCATGTGCCCTGACGGGGAATCGAACCTCAATCTCCTGGATCCTAGGTCGATGCTCAGCTGCTGAGCCATGCCGGCCAGGCAATCATATAATTCTTTAATGCAAGTAAATCATTTCTGCTTTCATTGCCTCATGTCAAAATATATCCTCACAAAGCCTTAGCAATCGGTCCTGAGACTATATTGATTACTCAAAAGATTTCTCATCTGTAATTAGACCAAAGGGTCTCTGGATGCTTCTACATCTAATAATCTTTCATTTTCTTTTTCTATTCCATTTTGCTGTAACAAGAAACTATTGGAACTATTTAGCTTGTTTTGTGCTTAAAATTTTTTTTTTTTACCTTTCAAAATTAGTATTTTTCTTTCCCCTTTCTGTATCATAGTGCACACTACTGTGATCTCATAATGACACTCTGGACCTGCACTCTCCTATATGGGTGCCACTAGCAACATGTGGCTTTTAAAATGAAAGTTAAAATTAATTAAAATTAAAATTCAATTCGTTAGTCACTCTAACCACACTTCAAATGTTCACTAGCCACATTTGTCTGGTAGCTATGTTATTGGGCAGTGCAGATATAAAATATTTCCACCATCACAGAAATAGACAGTGCTATTCTAGGACTTCTAAATGAAAGTTACTAGACTTATGTTACTGGAATGTCTATTAAAATCTGGTAAATTCCCCCAAGACAACGATGTGTAAAAGTCTTCCCAAATGCACACTGAAAAGAATGAAGCTTTAGTAAACATAACCCTTCACCCGTGGGGGTTTTCCAGTGACGATCGGGATATTTTACTTTGTCACAGCAATTGTAAAGCAGACACTACCATGTTTCCTAAGGCATGTCTGCACTACCCACCCCAGCCAAATTTAAAAGCAAGATATAATGTAGCAGTTATAACGTTCCTGACATAAGATATAGATCCCAGTCCAACCTCTACTTCTTACATTATAATATTTATCCAGTTCTTTCACATCTCTGAGCTTCTTGGAGATAACTTAACATTCTTATCTTTAAAACAGGAGAAATAAAACTTACCTCCTAGGTTCTGGGAATGAAGTGAAATAATATGAATAAAATATTTGGCACAGGGCCTTGCATATAAGAAGTTCTCAATAAATGAGAGTAATGATAGCAAATGATAAGCACTGGGGGCTTCAGTGTTATTCAATTAAAAGCTTAAGTGCTGAGTTAACAGCTCTGACCTACAGAATGAAAGCATACGCTAGCTTGTGTCCAGAAGAATGTCAAAGGTCAATATAAAAACCAAGGAAAGTACCTATTTCTCGATTTTTCTCTTAGAAGTGGAATAAAATCCATACTCCATGGTTCTCACTCAAAGGAATCATTTCTATTCTATCTAATGAATATAGAGATTTTGGCATCTCCCAGAGAGTAGTCATCTAAGTTTATTAAAGTTTTAAACACTTAATCATACAATGCTGTGGTGTTAAGTCCCTTCCAAGTTGTTATCTTAATTCTTATGAAAAGCACTCAGTAAACTCCTTCCAGCTATCAGGCACCGTCCTAGGCACTGGGGTTTGAATGGGGCTTGCCAACAAGACAGCCCCTCCCTTCATGAGGTTGTAGTCAGAGAAATTGTCATTGATCAAACAATTAAATGAATAAGTAGAAGATTGCATTTATGGCAAGGTCCCCAAAAGAGAAGCACATAGACTCTGAAGACACAAAAAATGGACTGACATAACGAGGAAAGATAGAGAAGATGCTCTGAACATGAGCATCAAGGTGAGATAGGAAGATACAGTGGGAGACAACTGAGGGTGGGGGTGG